GGCGGGCCCTCTGAGGGGTTGCCGGTGTCTGCCCCGGTGGGCTCCAGTGGTGGAGTTGGGGGGTCCCACATGTCATGTTGTCTGTGTCCCCCCGCCCAGCATCCCTGCTGCGGGCACTGCTTCAGCCTGGTTGAGGGGTGCCCTGCACATTGGTGGGGGTCGCACGGTGCTTTGCAGCCCAGGCACCAAAAATCACTGGTTCATGCAATCCTGATGTTAATTTGAGGGGGGCTGCAACAGCGATGCATGTGTTTGCTGTGCTAGACAGCCATGTAACAGCAATCATGCTACACGGCATAGGGTAGCGTTCATGCACTGATGCGAAGCGAGTAAATAAACAGTGAGAAAAAGCCTCTGTCTTCACGGTTTCACTTCCAACCTAACGGAGGAATAAAGGCATTTCCATACCTAAGACTCTGCTGACTTTGGTATTTGCAGCAGGACTTCAGGCAACTGCTTTGCCATGAGCAGTGTACTGGTGGGGGGCTGGTCCCTGGGCATGGGGGGATTTCTGGCCCCAGTACATCCCTGGCCCAGCCATTGCCTCTGGGGCTGCAATTTGGTCAAGCAGCCCTGCAAATTCCTCCCTTGGGGTACTAAACCCTACCGGCTCCTGCCCAGGTTCTCTGGCCTCCCCGGGCAGTTTCTCCTTGCTGGGGAGCCCCACAGAGCATCCACCCCCTTCAGCTCGTCCATGTCCTGCAGCAAGAAATCCCCATTGTGCCCTCAAGCATGCTGCCAGGGCACTTGCTGGCCCCACTGCCCTTCCAGGAGCACTGTAACACCCTGGCCATGCTGCCGCCATTCCCACCGCTGGCCCCTGCACGTGAGCCAGGCTGGCTTTCGACAGGCTGGAGCCGTGCCGCCAGTGGTGCCCAAAGTTAACCACTGTTTATGCAATTGCAGGTTGCTTTTTCTGTCTGAGAAGCTGCTAAAACGGGTGTGCTCGGCAACGCGCCGGAGCAAATGGTGCAGTGGGAGCAGCGTCGAGCCTCACAGGGAGAGGGGCCGCTCTTAGCATGCTGGGGGGGGACTCCCAGCTGGCGCTTGTGCCCATGCTGGGAGAAGGGGGTGAGAGCAGCTACGATGTCAGCAATGCACCTGCAGGGCACCTGCTCCCCTGCGTTCTGCGCAGCCGCATGTGGGGAAGGGACAGGTCCCGTTTTGGGCCATAGACTTAGTTCTCAGGTATTGTCCGTGGGTGATTGATGCTGGGACCTCCAGGACAAGGATAACACCGTGTACCTCACTGGTGCTATCAGTAGCACCAGCTGTTGGGGCTCTGTCTTGCTTAGAGCTCGTGCTCCCCAGCAGGAAGGATCAAAAATTGCATGTGTCCACTACATCCCACACCAGGGCATCAGGCCCCAGTGTCCCCAGGGGAGCTGTGCCAGGCAGCCTGGTGCTGGTGCTGCAGGGACGTGGAGGTTTAAGCAGCCTGGGATAGGGGTTTGCCTGCAGCTTCCCAGGCATGGGGCAGCATCCACAAGACCCCCAAAGACTCAGGGACCACCCAGCCCAGAGAGAAACGCCTGGGCTGGGCGAATGGCCCTCGGAACTGCCATGGCATGTCACACCCCAAGTCTGACAGACCATGGTGATGATCCAGGGAGGTCGGGCTCGGTGTATGCCATCACCTGGCAAATGAAGGGGGTGGGTTTGGGAGCTCACCGCTGGGACTGGCAGATTTGCAGCCCCATGAGGACTCCGATGTAGCGCCCAGCCAATTCCATCCCCAATCCTGACCGCATCCTTCTTGTCCGTGCCGTTAAGCAACATCCATAGGCAAGGCCTGAGCACCATCTAGTGGAATAAAAAGCCTTTTGCTGGGAATATTTCAAGCCTGTTGAACGATGCCCAGCTCCACCTGGTGCCTGGATGGGCACTGCTGCCCTCGCCCCTCTGTTTCCCTGAGCTCCCGGGGAACCCTGCTTGAACGGCAAGGCCAGGTATAAAACTGGCTAGCTCAGGTATAAATGACATACTTTTATAAAACAGCACTACCTCCTTGCACAGCTGCTGTTACAGCACCTGGAATTTTTGTGCAGTGACTCTGGCTCTACACCCTCGGGCATACAGCATTTTGGGATGCTCACCCCAAGCCCGCTCCTCACCCACCACTGAGGTGCCTGCCTCCGCTCTTTTTTCCAAAACTCGATTGTCAAATAGCACAAGCGGCCACTGAAAGGGTAAACTGCAAGTTTCCTGAGGAAAGGGTTTTCCTGGAGCATTGGAGCAAAGCAGGGAGCTGTTTTTTCCTCGCAGTGAAGGCTGGGCTGATGAGCGCTGGCAAGGTGGGAGCTGGCAGGGCAGCCCACTGCCCCCTTTTTCCCCAATGCCCACAGCAAGCTTACAGCCGGGCAGAGGTGGCCATCAGGTCTGGGAGGTGTTCCTCTGTGGCTCTTTGGTCTTTGGCTCTGCTGAGTTGCGTATTTTTGGGAAAAAAACTTTAATTTAGACCCTTAATATATATGTGTTTGCATCCTGTTGCCATGTGTTGTTTTTGTTTTGTTTTGTTTTTTACTGAAGGGCAGCAGTGATTCATCAACAGGTGTTTCTTCACGTTGGGACAGCAGAGGCTGTTGCTGAAGTGCTTTAGGATCTCTCATCCCACCCTGTAACAGAGCGAAGCCAAGTGAAGAGTGATATGTACACTAGAGTACTTTCTGGGGGTACCGAAGCAGAAAGAAATTGTCCCTACAAGTCCCAGCTTCCCTTACAAATACTAATTGTGGGGATGTGGCCAGGTGACTATGGGTGGTTGTTTATTCACGTAAATGTTGTGCCTAGACGAGAAACATCTGCTGTTGTGGCCTATCACCAATTTCTAGAGCCTAAAAGCCCTCATGCGTGAGGTGCGGAGGGTTTCCTGCAGCAGCTGTGGCAATGGCAACCCTTCAGATTCTGCAAAAGTAGATTTCTGTTACCATTGCTTTTGCACACAGGCCAGTACGTGCAGCAGTACTGGGAATAGCAGGCAGGGGGTCTAAAAGGGGTCAGTGCCCCCATGAGCCAAGTGAGCCAGATGAGGGGAGGGTTCACTGTAGCCCCTAATTGGGGATTGCCACAGCAGGCCAGCTGGGCAAGGCTCAGGTAGGGTCCTTTCCCCAAAGCACACACACCTGCAAAGGTTTTCCAGTGATGTATCTTGCTGCA